GGGGGGGGGGGGGGGTCACAGAGGCTACTCACCGCTGCCAGTCTCCCCCGTGTATTATCGTGTCGTATTATCGCGGCATCAAGGCCTATATTAACTAAAGACAAAAGCCGTTGACGAAAATACTTTACAAAAAAGCAAATTTTAAAAAAGTGGGCTTTTCAACAATGGCTTTTACGGCCAAGACATTGTCATGGCGTTTTCGCCACCTTAATATTGTAGGTTGTTTGCTCAAAAGAAGGCCTACCATGCGAGGGGGGTCACGGGCACCCCAGGACCCCCCACCCCCTAGCTATGCCCCTGTACTGCACACTTATAAATTTAGAACTGGCTAATGTACACACATATTATAATCCAAACGATACTAGAAAAAACAAAAATAAATATACTGTAATATTAAAAATAAGTTTTGATGGGTCAATTAGAGTGGCAGAAGGTTCTAATGATAGGCAGGCATATACTTGGAAGGCTTCAGGACTCCATAAAAGGATTGTGCGAGGGAAGAAGGAGTACTTGTAGGCATTGGTGTTGGTGGCGACCCGGATGCGTCGGGACTGTATCGCTATAAACTCCCGAATTGCAGCCATAAACTCCCAGTTTGAATTGTAGCTATAAGCTCCCACTGGCTCAATTAAAGCAAGTAATTACGCGATTGGTAAAACATATTACAAGGAAGGGAAAGAGAAAAAGAAAGAGAGGAAGAGAGAGAATAAAATATTCAGTAACACAAACCATGAATTACTATACTAATTTATAATGCTGGCTACGAACGGTAAACATTTGCTTTCAGCGGAGCAATTTTTAATCTTCGATGAGTTTAGTTATTCCAGATACTCGCGCATCACATGTGGTGTAATTAAAAAAAGTTATTTTAAGAAACTAGGCGAATTAATTTTTAGGGGTCTTCGGATTTGAAAATGACGTCATGACCACACTGAAACGTCTTTCACTTTCAATTTTTTGCCTTTCTTAAAACTTCAAGTCTTAGTGTTTTTTCCCCTGAAATTGATTAATCATTTCCTAACAATTCATTTCAAAGTCGACTTCAGCCTTGGGGAATTTGTAAATAAGAGAGCAACTTTGGTTCCCTCGATACTGAAAGATCCATTTTTGAGTTATTTATTACTTTATTCACGCCACTTGGTTTAAATAAGTTCATCGATGCATGTTAATGAGCCATTTAAAGAATCTCTTAAGAGTCTTACTGATTGCCATGTCAACAGCGATGAATACAAAACACTTTGAATGGTTGATTTTCTATTTGTTGACACCTTTGTGAAGAACAATTATCATAGATATTTGATGTGTTGTTCTATGCATTAAAAGAGAAATGTTTGCATTCAGTTTTTAAAAACTATCGGATATATAACAAGGAAACCCAAGGAAGAGATTTGACTTAGCAAGTACAGTAAGGGCTCCATGAGATGATGATATTTTTTAGCTCGAAGAATCCTGGGTGTTTTAATTGCCCTTAGGTCGGAAAACGAATGATTGACTCTAAATGAATTATTATCCCGAGAAAACAAAAGATGAGATTCTATTCTTAAACAAAGGACTGTAATCTATTGAGTTTGTCAGACTGAATAATGATATCTGAATTCATTATCTAAGTGAGCTTCGTTCGACCTACTCAGTCATTGAAGAGGATTTGTGCAGTATAGATGAAATTCAATACGCCAATTATATGGTGCTCGGCAAATTAATCGGTCATTGCAAATTTTTTGGTACCTGTTTTCTTGCAACTAAGGGACTAGAGACGAGTGATACTCATTATTTTATTTATGAACGCTTGTTCTCTAGCTAACTCTTGAGGGATGACATATACAAATCAGTCGACCATGTTTCCCTGTTTGTTATCTCATATAACGTCGGTCAATGTCCATTGATGGCTTGGCGGCAAACTGTGTTTTAAATTCCTTAAAGTGGTATAACTATGGGAAACGGCAACACAACACCAGTAGGAACTGTTCGGAGAGTGATACAAGCAAATAAGAAGTTTAGAGCGAAACTTGAATTGTGGGAGAATGACCGCAACCAACGGGAACCGTGGAAATCGATTCTCCAAAACGGTCCTTCCGTTGTTTACGAGAAACGGAAACAAGTGATACAAGCACAAGACGAGAGATCGATAAACGATTTTAACTCTCTTCTAGAAGGAAAAGTTCTCTCAGATTCAGCATGGACTCTGCCGACGAAGGAAATTGCCGTGTTTTTGAGCTCGACGTTCACGGATATGTCAGTGGAGAGAGATTTACTGATGGAGGATGTTTATCCGTATCTACGCGAATTTTGTCGACGGCTTGGTTATAATTTTAGTGTGGCTGACATGAGGTGGGGAGTGCGGGACGAAATGACAGACGAACATCAAGCAGTGGACATCTGCGTGACGGAAGTACAGCGATGCAAGTTAGTATATCATTCTATCATTAAGTAGCAATCCTGTCAAGATAGATGTCCTCGGAGTTTTAATGAAGGATCATTAAGAAACAAGTAGTTCATGTTAGGCTCCATGAGTCGGACTTGCCTACAGAAGGTATACGGAAGGGGTACCTTTTCTCTGAAAAATGACATATATAAGGTAAAAGGTTGAACCTCGTGGTTGTTGGCACCCCCGGACGTCCGAGCTTTTAACAAAAGCATTGGTCTATTTATAACGACGAAATTCTTTATAGAAATTTCTGACATTTTGCAGATGCAACCTTAAAGTGATCTAACTGTAGACCAACCGATTTCAATTTGCAATGAGATCGCCCCATGTAAGGACTCCAAGACAGTCATGTATTCTGGATTCCACGCCGTGGATTCCGGATTACAAGTACTAGATTCCAGTCTTTGTCAGTGGGATACTGGGATACTGGTCGATACTGGATTCTATATAATCGTTAGTGGGATTCCGGATTCCAAAGGCCAGGATCCCGGGATTCCACTGGCAAAATTTCCCGGTTTCAGGAATCCCGATTCCCTAACATGGGGCAAAAGAGATGTTTAGCCACGAACTGTGGCATACACACTGGTTATGACCCCCTGAACGTGACTTAAGAATAAAATCTCTGAAGCGATCGATCCCGGAGAGGTAAAACTATAAGAGGGAACCGTCTTTTTGGCTGTACTGAAAATAATATGCTACCTGTCTCCAACCTTGTCCACCCAAAAAAAAAAAAAAATAAATAAATAAATAAATAGATAAACGGAAACAAGTGCTACAAGAGTGTGTCTCAAATATAGTTTTCAGATGATGAACCCCATTTTATGTAGCGTGCGATGCTGTCCATTTCAAGTGTCGTGTTAGGGGAGCCGCGCGAGATAGCGTCATCTTCATCCTTTCACGTACTGCGCTTGACTCTCTTGGTAACGAGGATCCAAATGGAGAGCTTGCTCGCAGGCTATATCTAATTTTGTCCGAGTCCTGTTGATATCCATATAATTATTTGTCAGAAATGAGTCCGTTGGACCGTATATGGTTTGCATTATTGGCGACAAGTACGGCTTCAGACCAGTTCCTGTTACAATGGATAAAAACATCTTTGAAATGCTGTTGGGAAGCGTCAAGAGTAATCCTGGGGGCAAACGCGCTGCCGAGCTTCTTGTTCAATGGTACAAACTAGATGAAAACAGTATACCGGCAGCTTATGTCCTACAGCCAGTGTCAAAGTTTTATCCGCATGCGTATAAACACCACGCAAACGATGCTGATGAAAAGAAAGAAAAAGAGGAAAGGCAGCAATGGTGGCAAACACTGGAAACAATGGCAGAAGCTCTGAGGAAGGCTGCGAGTCAGATCGATTTTACAGCTTTTCCTTTAAGCGAGATGACCGAGGAGGACTTCAAGATTTCTGTGACCGAGACGGAGATAACAACTGGAATGAACGGAGAGGGTGTAGACCCAAAATACATGATTTTATTTATTCGGTCCCTTAAAGAACTACATGAAATGGACCTCAATAACAATAAATTTACAAAGCGTTTTGTAGACAAGGGAAATGCAAGTGAAGCAGTTAGTACAAAAACTTTGTTGCAGAGTCTCAAAAGTAAATGCCAAGAGGTAATACCTGAAGACAATATATGTAGGTTAGTGATCATAGTAAAATTAACCATGATTTTGCAATTTTTTTTGAGCCACGGTACTTTTTAACTTGTAAAGAATGGTTCAAATTGCCCGCTGCTACAATCATGGACAAAAGTCCTTGGGACAGTCAGAACGTAACTTCAATTTTATACGTTTAGCAAGTTATGTCGCAAAAGCAGTGCTGCCTTTTTACAAATCCATGTCCCCTCGCCTCTCCCCACCCAAAACAATGTTGAAAGAGCAAAGGAATTGTGCTTTGACTTGCTTTGAATTGTGCATGCTTTGAATTGTGCTCTGTGGGGTGGGGGAAGGGGATAGGGACGTACAGTGTTAGCAGCGCCCGGATACAATTTCGCGTGTGTTAAAAAGCGTTCGAACTGTACAACTGTCCCAAGAATTTTCTCCATGATTGTAGTAGAGGTCTCTCATGAGGGGCGAGACGTACCGAAAAATGAGAGTGACTGTGTTTGATGGATTAAAGTCAGAAAAAAAAATTCCGGAAAACCTGGTTGGAAAGTAAATGGAACACGACTTTTTGGGTCAATCCAGCGGAAAATTTCCTGGAGCAAAGGAACGTCTGAAAAGATAGTTCTGTTTTTCTGGACGGAATGTTTCAAAAGGTAATTCGTGTTCCATTTCTTTTAAGCCATGTTACCAGTTTATGCCTTCGCTGCAATGGTAAGCATGCAACACTCTTTTCTCTCGCCTTGGTTGAGGTGACCTATTCTATTGTAGCAAGGATCGGGTTCAAAAGTCCGACCTCACATGTCAAATACCTAATGCATGCCTGTTGGTCACGTTGTTTTCGCTCATTAAGCCCCTGTGCAAACGGACGCAACATTGTCGGATGTTAAGTGTTGTGTTCGTTTAATTTGCACACCCTGTTGCATGTTGTTGCACAAAGTTTGGAACCGGTCACACTTTTAGCTACGCGTACGTACAAACGGACGCAACAACTCCCAACATTGTTGGGGGTTGTTGCGTCCGTTTGCACGTGGGGGTTTAGGATGCGTTTTGTCACATGCAAGTAACAAGCTAAACTGAGTCGAAGTATGAATATGACATAATAAGAGCACTATGATCTTGCATCGGGAAAACTTCATTAACGTTTACGTGAAAAATTCATTGAATGTACGATTTTAAATGAAAATGACTTAGAATTAGAATTGATATTTTAAGAGTCATTTTATAACAAGATCGAAGTTCATTTTATATATTTTGTGAACTCAGATATAGCCTCGAGTTTCAGCTTACCCAGGATGGTCATATTAACCCGTTCAAGAACAAAGAGGAAATAAAGAATTTTTGCGATCAATTCTGCCAGAAAATGATTGATGGCATTCAAGAAGGTAAAGTATTGTCTTGTTTCTTAGTTTATATACCTATAATAACCAGAAAAAAATGGTGGTAGTTTTTGTTTTACAAAAGTTGCCAGCGAGAGTCAGTCATATCACACTGGTCATTAAAAAGCTGGATTGGCGCGAAAACGTTCATTTTTCTTTACAATTTGCTTACATTAAGTAAAAGCAATCATTCTCTCTTGGTAAGAGAAACCGTTCAATTCCAAACACCATATAATTTTCCAAAAAAAAAAAGACCAGTGGGGCTCTAAAAGAGATAGAACAAATTCAACAGCAAACTCTCAGGACACAGGTAAATTAAAATTCAAAATTTAAGCTAAGCTAATTGATTTTTTTTAACTCCTTCCAAAATCAAGTTTTGTCTTGTGGCAATAATTTTTCTAGTTTGAAAGAAATGGTTAGTTGTAAAGTTGTGAAAGTTTGGATAGGATATTGTCTTTTATCAAGAAATAGCTTAAAAGGCCGCTACGCAATCGCCTAATTCTAATGTGTCAGCCATAGTAATCCAATACCTGGAAGGGTTTTAACAGTCTGTGTCATGATTTTCTGGTTCATTTTGTTGATAATGCCAATTACACGTCCTTAATCGCTATCGAACTTGAGAAATTACTTGGGAATGGCAAAATAGACCTGTGCAGCCGGTGTTTTATTCAGTCTCTCATGATTAGTTTGAGCACAACTATCGCAACCAAATGCGCCATCTTACTTCTCGGTTTTGATCATCAACTCGGAGGCAACTCTTGTTTCTAGCCCCCCTTGATCACCTCCTTTCGCTTTCCCAACAGTCACGGGCTGCTATCCTCACTTTGTCCCTTTGCCAAATCTAAATGACTAAATTCGAGAGCAGGACGAATGGAGGACCGATATCGGAGCCGCCATTTATTACACATGCACGAATAGAAAATGTACTTCTCCATCGGAATCTATTCGTGTCCAATGGATCCTACCCCCATGGCCACCTCCGAGAAATAATATAAAGTCTGAGGAACGAGACCGTGCTCACAAAGCCGTCATGCTAGCCTGCGAGCAAGCTCTCCTATTTCGGCGAGCGAGGCGAGTCTCGCGAGAACGCACGAGAGAGCGGCGAAGCCGCGAGGGGCGGAGGAAAGGCCCCCCCGCTGGCGCGTTATCGCGAGACTCGCTTCGCTCGCCCAAATAGGACAGCTTGCTCGCAGGCTACGTCATACCACTTGTGGCGTCGCGAAATGATGGCTGTTTACTCACGCCAACCCTTACGCAGTTACCTCACGGTGCTTAGCTTTTGTTCAAGGCTATCTTGCAAGGGAATCCAAAGGTTTAAATAGAGATTTGGTCTCTCACATGCGCTTGTTTCATTTAAAGCTGTTGCCAATCATCAGATAATTGATGACCCTTTATATGTCGAAGTTCTTCACCATACAATGGTCACAAAGAAGAGAACAGAAGCATTTGTAGGCAGAAAGCAACTATTACAAAAGGTAATACGGGCATTTCAAATAGGACCAATATTAAGTAATTTAATTGGGACACGATTTTTGCTTTGTAGGAAGTTTTCAGATCACCAAGAACCAGAGTACACAGCTGTAAACAGAGATATTAAGTTAAAATTTTAGGTAACTAGGGGAAGGATTTTCTGGGAAAGAATATGGACCTCAAAAAACTTAGATTCAAACCTGGGGTTGAAGTTACCAATAGAGATTTCAAGAAAAGCAACGGAAACGTGGAAGTTTGTTGTTTCGCAGCTTGATGCCGGAACGATTTTGTCTTACACAAGGACTTTTAACTACGAAAGGTAGAGAGAGGGGTACCACCTGTAATGGCCAATACGGGGAGGCCCCGGAGGGGTGGGGGTGGTGGTGGGTTCCATTTTCAAGCTTCAGGAGTAATACAAGGGTAGGGATCTCACTAAATGAAGTATGCGAACGAAAGGGTAGGGAAATCTGTCATTTTAGTGTGTTAAAGGACCTAAAGGGCTACGAGACGCATTTTATGGATGTGAAAAAGCCAAGACAACTTCTTGGTTTCTTGATTTATTCATATGTATAGGACAATACATTTAAAGCAGCGTTTAAGTTCTAAACTAGGCATTTGAAAGGAGTACCATATTTTCGCAATGGAAGATACACAAAAGGGGAACCTTTTCTGTCCAAAAAAATGGTTGGATAAACGGGTAAGGAGTTGGACCTGGGACGGAACCTCTCTGAGAGTGAAACTTTTGTTACCTTCCCTTCCCCTCTCCCGGAATGAAGAAAAAGAAAAAAAAACTTTCGGCTCCATCAATGCTTAAAAAGCTGCTCCTTGAGTAAATATACATAAACTGCGACAAAAATAAAAAATGAGTTTTCGTCTAAGTGTTGTGTTAAAAAAAGCGTATTAATTGTATTTCACGAACTATCTTACTTCTTTTTATGAATGCACTTTTTAGATTGAGCACTACCTCAGACTGGATAATGGTGGAAAGGTAACCAGTTATTTGTGTCTGTGTTCAATCCAACAAATAATACCAAAAAAACTTTCACGTCAAATGAAAAGTATTTATTAAACGCAAAATCGAAACAAACGCTGAAATGCCAAACAATCATGCTCTTTTGTTTTGTGCTCCTATTCCTTAATCTTCTAAAGTAGACAGTGACTGAAATGTTTTCAGGCTAGTTTAATTTTGGCCCAAAATTATTTTTGGAGCTTAGACCACACCTCAGTATTTATAAAAAGTCACCGTCTTAATTAGCAAGTAAGAAATCAATGATAACGTCTCTTCATTTTAATTTCGCAATATTTTAATCTCTGGAAACGTACAGTGTAAACGTACGATTTAATTCGGAGTCAGTGACCCCATTATTATGATAATTAATATCTGATTTTTTCACCAGCCTTTTATCGTCTATGGCGTATCAGGCTGTGGTAAAACTTCTATCCTGGCCAAAGCTTTTACTGCGTCTCTTGAAACCTGGAATGGAGTCTACACAGGAAGGTAAGCTTGGCAACTTCAATATAAAATCTTTTACGATGAAACTGTGAAAGATAAGTCTGAAATTATTGCTTAAAATTTATATTTGAAAACTATTATAGGGAAGGGAGAGGCAACCTGTTACGGACTTTCTGACATGCGTACTTTGGTCTTTATTCGCCATATGCTTTGTGCAGTCACGTTACTATCGCAACCCTCCCTTTTCCGTCACTATGGTAGCATGTTACTCTTCTACTTTCAGTAAATTTGTCTACATTGCATCAGTTTGGCTAATGTTATTGAATGAAAGGGGCCATAGGAGCTGCCCCTACCTGTTTACCCTAAACTTGCCTGTCTCCTCCAAGCAGAGGGCCCAGCTTAAAAGAAAAATGATTAAGAGGGACACCCCTGCCGGCCTCCCATGCTTTTTCCATCTCTCTTGCACTGCGCTCTCCTCAACAGCGTGCAGAACCGGTTTGCGCGGTATAGCAACTGTGACTTCAGAAATTTCCAGCTTGCAGTCTCCACAGGGCATACGTATTCCGCATTACTTAAATGAGCCGGTTTTTAAACATTAGTTAGTTTCGATCCCAAATGTGGTCAGCGGCTACATGAAAGAACGCGGTAGGTACTTCATATATGATTATTATTATGTACCTAAACAACCTATTATTATTGTACTTTATACAACACCATATATACCCCTAATCAACCCCATATACTCCTATACATCACCATATACCCCTATACAACACCATATACCCCTATATACCCCTACACAACACCATATACCCCCATATACCCCTATACATCACCCTATACCCCTATACAACACAGTATACCCCTATATACCCCTATACAACACCATATACCCCCATATACCCCTATACAACACCATACACCCCCATACATAACCATACACCACCTATACATCACCATACACCCCCATACAACACAATATACCCCCATATACCCCTATACAACACCATACAGAACCATACACCCCTACACATCACCATACACCCCTACACTTCACCATACATCCCTATACATCACCATACACTACTATACATCACCATACACCCCTACACATAACCATACACCCCTATACATCACCATACATCCCTATACATCACCATACACCCCTATACATCACCATACACCCCTATACATCACCATACACCTCCATACAAAACCAAACACCCATATACATCACCATACACCCCTATACATCTCCATACACCTCCATACATAACTATACACCCTTATACATCACCATACATCCCTATACATTCCCATACACTACTATACATCACCATACACCCATATACATCAACATACACCCCTATACATCACCATATACCCCTATACATCACCATACACCCCCATACATAACCATGCACCCCTTTACATCACCATACATCCCTATACATCACCATACATCCCTATACATCACCATACACCTCTATACATCACCATACATTCCTATACATTCCCATACACTACTATACATCACCATACACCCCTATACATCACCATACATCCCTATACATCACCATACACCCCCATAAAAAACCATACACCCCTATACATCACCATACACCCCTATACATCTCCATACACCTCCATACATAACCATACACCCTTATACATCACCATACATCCCTATACATTCCCATACACTACTATACATCACCATACACCCCTACCTGCCTGGTGTGTTTTTATTTCACTGCCACTCCTGTCGCAGAAGTCTGATAAAAAGATAAATCGATCTGTTGGTTATATTTATCGAGGTTGTATTCTATTGAACCATTTTTTGCAAAACAGATTAATATCGAACGTCTGCATGGCAAAAAGCGAAACACAGATCTACTATGTAGTATCGCGCCTAAAACACACTAATATCTTTTACTGATTCAGTGCCGGATCCAGACCTTGCCTAATTAGAACTGCTAGCCCAGTTAGGACCACTATTTTTTTAATAATTAGCCTGTTATTTGAATCTTTAGGCCAATCCATCTTATAAGATTTATTGGAACATCACCCTCTTCGTCAAATGTGAGGTCTCTGCTCATTAGCCTTTGTCAGCAGGTAGGTTTGTGCCGCGACTAGTAGACTATAGATAGTATTCTTTCAATGGCTTGGAAGTGAAGCAGCTATACATATTCAGCGGTCTCACAAGGGAGAGAGCAACACCAACTGATTTGCACTGGTTCAATTACTATTTCTCAGCCAGCATCCAAATTAAGTGTACCGCTCATAGTTCTCCTCTTTACCCCTAAGTATTTCACTTATATTAAGAATTTGCCTCGTGCCACTCTCCGATCAACGCGAAATCACTCAAACATTTCTTATCTTTGAACGGAAAATTCGCGTAGGTGGTTGGTTTTTTTTTCTGTATGTACACTGCTGGGTTATTATTAGGGTATAGCTAGGGTAAACAGCACATTTGCTTGAAACTCACTTCGTTTGGCAACCAAGAACAAGCAGACAAACAAACAAAATATGAGGCATTTATAGGCAAGGCAAACTATCGCAGAAGTCTAATTAAATGCAAGTTACCCCATATCTTATTCCTATTTCTTCAACCATTTTCTCTTTATATTTTATATCTTTGTAGCTGTGTCTCGTGTTTAAAGATACATCGACATTGATCAGTGACAACTATGATCGTCTTGTTGCCAAATTCCGTTCACTTCTCCTGAGGGCGACACCAGAAAGACCACTTGGTAAGTTTATTTTAATAGGGGAGGGGAGGAAGGGTGTTAGTATAGACTCACAGAAAAATAACAGTAAAAGTAATCTTGTAGTTTGAGTGCAGTTAGTGAATCGCAGAGAAGCTAATCTCTGTCAAGAACTCACCGAGTATTTTCTTTTTAGTTTTGTTCCTCGACTCACTGGATCAACTTTCTGATCAAGATGACGGTCGTGCACTCAGGTGGCTACCGACCAGCTTACCAAAAAATGTGCACATTGTAGTCAGTACTTTGCCAATCACAGGAGGCTGCCTTGCTGTTTTGAAAACCAAACTGAAGCCAGACAACAATGCCGACTTTTATCTTGAGGTATGCTTTTATATTAATGGCGGACGCAGAGAAGTGTCTTACTCTGCTGCCGCATCAAGTAAAAGTTCTTTCATGATTTACACTTACTTTTAAGTACATGTTACAAAAAGAATTGTCAGTCTACGTACCTTAACAAATAATGTAAATAACCTCGAACCTGGGTACAGGCGTAGACCTTCCATTACTTTCCGAACCAAGGGCAACTACTTTTGCTTCCCATCCACGCAGTTGTCTACAATTACTAAAAAAAAGTCTTGTGTCTAAATAGGTTTCATCTCTGGAATCAAATGATGCTGAGAGCATTCTGGACATGAGGCTAGAAAACGCCAACAGGTACCGAGAAATCCTAGCCGGTTACTTACTATAATTTAGTACTTTTGGGATTAAAGCCTAGGAAATATGCTGATATGCAACTGTTGGCTCGTGACGCTCGCGGTTTATAGTATACATTTTTTTGTTCAGGTTCATAAAAAAAATGTCATGTTAAATCATTTCTTTTACTCTGCCTAGAATATTTTTTTTCTGGAGGCACTGCTTGAAATGTTAGCCACTAACAAAGTTCTTACAGCTTGTAGAAGAACAAATTTTTTTTTATTTGTACCGCAGTTTACATTGTCAGAATTATCAGTAAAACAACTTACAATATTACCTGATTATATATCTTAATTTTAAATTTATATGTTTAACTCCAGTCTACATTTTTCTTTATAATTAAAACCAATCAACCAAGTACATGCAATGCCGTTTGTGATATACACTCCCTTTCTTTTTTTAAATTTTTAATATCTGACCGTAGGAGACTAACACTGGAGCAAAGGAAACATGTCTTGGAAACGAGCACCAAGCCTACGGCGCTCTACATGAAACTGGCTTGTGACACAGCGTTACGGTGGAAATCGTTCACAGAGGACACACACACAAAATTAAGGGCCACAGTCTCAGAATTGATCATACAGTTGTTTGAACGGTAAGTGCTTTCTAAAGAAAAAATAATAATCAAGTAAATAGAGGTCACTTCCCAGTTTTTCAAATAATTGAACATTAGAAATAAAGCGGGATTTACACAGTATCTGATGTATCGGGCTCGTCAATTACAGTTTTCTATCTGTAGGGGGGCTAGCAAGTTGCATAAACTAGTGTCCCTAACAGGGTCGTTTACTTTACATTGCTAAATTATGTGAACTAGCAGGACACCCCAAGGTATTAGAATATAGTACTTCTAGGTCTTCTTTTAAATGTTTGCTTTCAATGGAAGGGGTATTAATATGATAAGTACAATGAAAGCCACACAAAAGGCGTTATATCCTACAACCAAACAAGCCTGTTAAAGCACGAATATTGCAAGCTAATATGAGCACATTTGATTGAAAAAGTTGCACTCTAGCTAACCGCATTGTATTGTCTTTTCTTCCTGCCAGCTTAATCACAAAGCATGGAGAACAGTTTGTCCGTCGAGCCCTTGGCTACATCACAGCCTCCAAAACAGGACTGACGAAATCCGAGCTAGAGGACGTGTTATCATGCGATGATATCGTACTTGCTGATGAGGTGTTTAAATATCACGTGCCTCCCATCCGAAGGCTGCCTCCACTACTATGGACGCGACTCAGGAATGATCTAGGTGAGGACATAAATGACCACTGTAAAAAAAGGTCTTTTCTTACAATCAAACTAACTAACAAGCTAAGCAAAATCAAAGATACAAAAAAACAAACAAATAAACAAAAAGCAATAACAACAACCGATCAACGGTTCACCTACGTAGTATGCTAAATTTGAGTCATAGGTGCTGAAAACAGATTTTTGTAGCCAAATAGCGCTAATTTTTCTCTCCTACATTTGGATTACTAGTAGTGTGTTTATCGAGCGTGAGTACCAAAAATTTCAGCACAAAGTAAACGTTCATGGATAAAAGGAAAAAATAGGGTAGTTATTAAACAAATGATAGTAAAATCTAGGGACGGATTTTGCAGGTCGGTAGGTCTAATGTATCCAGTGTTTTTCGCACGACAATCTAGACTTCATCAAAGACTTCCTTCAAATTTAAGTGGCACAGATCTTTTGTGTCACTGAACTCGCCTAAAGCCTCCGCCCCTTTTCCTTGCTGAGGTGGGTCAAATACACCTATTGTGACCATCGTATACTGTATACATTTGCAGGTGGATACTTGGTCAAGGTAGCGGCCGATGGTCACGTGGTCTACAAGTGGTATCACCGACTGTTTCTAGAGGCAGCAAAGAATTACTTTTTGAGTGACAAGCCTTTTACTGACTCGCTTCACACGGATTTAGCAAATTACTTTAATGGAAGGTGAGTTAATAAAGCTAAAGCAGAAATTCGCAGAAATCGCTTGAGATAAAAACAACAACAACAACAACAACAACAACAAAACAAAACAAAACAAAAAGAAAAAAGACAGGAAAAAAATGACTTAAACAAATTGTCCCAGGATAGAAATGTTTTTGGAGTACATGACATCTCCTCATGTGTTTTGAAAAGTGACTTGCGTACAACTTTTTGTTTTAAATTAAATAATCAGTATGTTATTACTTTGTCTGTGATGTCAGGACGTTCCCACAATCTGAACGTATGTGTGCCAGCGTGGGTCCGAAGACCATAAACCCGCATTTGGGTTGAACAGATTATAGCGTCAATCACAATTCTACACTCGTAATACATCTTAAAACCGCTGAAGGAGTGAATCTGTCAAACTGGATATCCATACACGGTTGTTAGAGAGAAAAACTGGAAAAAAGGTTTGAAGAAGTGAGAACTTACGTCTTTCCGGGCACTTGAGTCGGACTGCGTGGTCGATTACTAAACAAAACTAACGAACATGCACCGAAATCTATGACACATATATAACTTCAAGAAGGCGGAACACAGGTGCCGCTTAGACGGCCTGAAACAGGCAACAAAAAACGAATAATAAAACCAATTAAAGGAGGTTTATATAGTTAAGATTTTTTCTTAATGCTTCAATCTGTTATTCCTTATAGATGGGCGAGAGAAGCAAAACCATACACAGACAAAAACGGAAATATATGTAGTGCGTTCCGAATGGTAGCGGATCAACCGCTGATTCTGAGTACAGAAGTCAGGCAAATGGCGAATACGGAAGATGGAGAGAGTGGAGCAAGATACAATTTGCGCAAATTAAGCGAGCTACCGTACCACTTAATACGATCTGAGATGTGGAACGAATTTGTTGAGGTAAGGATTGATTGAGATTGATGAGTTCTGTGCAAACGTTAGAGTGTTATGTACCGGATATATCAGTAATATGCAAATAAGCTTTTTTTTATTTTAATTCATTAAAGACAGCTAAATTATCAAAGAGATTTTTTTCTGTGGAATTCACCTAACATATTTTGATCAATTATCAGAAGTAAAAAATATGTATAATGATAAGAAAATAAAGCGGAAAAATTCTAGAGAGCTATGTTTAGGGGCGTGTAATTCAAAACGATAAAATTATCGATTAACAACTCTCCAATCGGCGAAAATTGTCCAGAGGTTTTTCATGGGCATGATGTTTACAAAAAAAGTTTTTTTCTGAGAATTTTTAACTGTTCAACATTGGACACCACTGTTTTTTTTCGTGAATGAATTTCGAGATCAAAGGCGGTAATTTAAAAGCTTTCTTTTCTACAATAGTTTTCTATATTATTTTCAAAAGAACTACATAATTATAATACATTTATGAATATGATTCCTGGTTTAACGGGAAAAAAAGGAAAGGATCATCTCAAAGCGAAAGACAAGAGAAAGTGAATTGAACAATACGCCAAAACTTTTTTTTTACTTCAAGAAACAGTTCTCAACAACCCAGGAATTTTTACTATTGATGTCTGATAAGAGCCAATTATTTATCATTTTGGGTTGGTTATTCACGACAAACAAAGTGAAAACGGTGTTTAACAATACGGCGTTTTTAGCCCTTTTAAATTGGGTTAACTCTTAGCATCGCTTTTTGTTTACAGCTTCAAAAATGCTTACAGCCCAGACAAGAAACCAGTCATTAAAATAAACACCTTACAAAGGAGGCTCTCTGAGTTCCTTAAACTTCTGTCAAAGTCAGAATTTGTTTAAATAACCGGCTCTTAGTTTATTCATTTATACCACCCACACTGTTAACAATTTAAAGAATTTGAAAGTAAATCTGAATATCCCGGAAACTCTTCTTAAACTATGAGCGTAAGAAAGTTCTCGATGTCTCCTTATTATAAAGCTTTAGTGTACGATTTTAGGAATGGACAGCTGTCAGACTCACAATTCACAATTCCAGATTTAAGCATCGAAAATATTAAACACGTAAATTCGTTTCTCTGTACTCCCGAATTAACTCCTTAATCTCTTTTTAAATATTGAATTGGTTGCCTCTTGCCAGATGAGCCTCCTAACCATGCTATATTTCATTTAGATTAAATTTGATTTTGATATTTGTGGGCATTAATAGTGCCTGAATAATACTAGCCACTGAATCTAAAATATGCTTGAAAAACATGATATAGTAATCAACGATTTCAGTTTTAAAATGATTAAAATGAACATTTTACATATGCGCATACTCAATAATTGACCAACAAAATAAGGTGCCTTTCCATACTTTATTGTCTCTCTTTCCCACCGTCGACCATACGCTCTTCTCCAAAACTGACAACTTGGTTCATTTATTCACGGACTTTTAGTGTACGATTAAGCTTCTAACTGCCAGAAGGCACATACAAGATATCTTTTGACGAACTCTTCTTGAAAAAACATCTTTCTTTGGACGTAGACATGTTCTTCCCCCCAAAAAACAAACAAACAAACAAAACATTAATGTATGACTCAGACAGTTGATGAGCCAGTGGTCAGGTATTCCAATACCACGACACACGTACTTTTGCTGAGGGATTTAAACTGCTCAAAACGCTCAAATGTATTGCTATATATTCATCGCCAGTTCATGCCGTCTCTTTATAAACTATCGCCCCGTGTAAGGGACCTCGAATTCCGGAATCCGGGAGAGTTTTGCTTGTGGAAACCGTAATCCAAGAAAATTTGGCGTTTGGAATCCGGAATCCTGGGCTTCGGAACTCGGAATACAGCTTAAGGAATCCGGAATTCCACTAAAGATACGGAATCCGGGATACAATTTCCTCTGACGAAGACTGAAATCCAGTACCTGAAATCCGGAATTCAGGGCACGAAATCCAGAATCCAAGACTGTCTTGGCTTTCTTTACGTGGGGCGAAAATTTTAGCCAAGGTTTATATAATTATCTTTGTTTTGGCGCGTACACCTTGATAAGGAATTTTTATCTTGTGAATCCTTTGTACATAGGCAGCACCATTTCTTTAAATGCATGCCGGTAATTCCTTTGTCTGTAAAAATATACGCAAGGATTGAAAGCAGAGTTGGAGAGAGCGAGTAAACCAGACCAAAAGTGCCACATGCTGTAGTGCCTTGGGAAGATGACAGGAATGGTGATAATAGGTACCCAACAAAGACAGAATAGCCCTACAATAAGCGCAACTGTCTTAGCGACCTGCTTCTCTCGTTCGCGCAATTCACCGGATATTTTCATATGGCTTTGGTTGTCATGTAACTGGCGAATTTTAGACGACTTAAACCTGACTGTTGTGAAAGTTACAACCCCACTGATGACGATAGCGAGAAGGCAGGTTATGGCTCCAATTGTTCTAATATAAAGGGAAAACAATCGCTCAAAGCGAGAATATAATTCCAGAGCGGAAAAAACCAGAGATGTCATCCATATGAGGCCCAAGAAGGCTTTCAACTTTGAAGTACTCATTCTCAGTTTGTGGGTAATAGGGCTGCATGTCGCCCAGCAACGATCCATGCTCATTGCAGCCAAGATTAGGACCGAAGCAGTGATAGAACAACGTAAAATGACCATGGAAGTAACTCCTACAGTACTCACTGAACAGACTGGCGCCACATCTTGGGAGAGCACCGAGATCATCAATGGAATTGATATTGCAGTTACTAGGAGATCAGCCAGGGCCAGGTTTGCGATAAGAACTCCACAAATCGTTTGCAAGTTCGCAGCTCTTTTGATAACTAGAATCGTGATCGCATTGCCTAAAGATCCCACAAATGCTATGAGACTGCAGAGAACTATCGCAGCAGTTATATCGATTGCTTTCGGTGAAAAATCCTGGCAATACAAAACGGCAGATGTTTTGTTGGGAATTGTCATTTCAAACTTTTAAGAATCACTTGTGTTTTTAGGAAAACGAACTCCGTTAAGCACGTTTTTTTGTTTTTCAAGAAAATAAATAATAAAAGAGAAAATTAGATGTTAAGGTTTTCTTAAACTTGGGGCTTAATGCACCTTGCAGTGTCGAGTCCTTGACGAGCACTACGCTAGTAATTTGTCAGTCTTCCTGTTTTCGCTTTAAAACGGCGACATTTTTTTAAAACCAGCGGGAGAATTATTAACACTTTCGGCTTGCCTCAAAACAAGTCACTCGGATTAAAGAGTCAAGGTTAAATAAGTTGTTGCTGAAAATAAATTCAGTGTTGTGCTTATTGGTCTATGAAACCTTTTCACTCACGTGGCTAGCATCTATGCAACTTCTAATTCAGTTTAGTGGAGCAAAAGACAAGGCTTACATAAGAGGAGAATTCAACTCCGACAGGATTAGTTTGGAACACCAAGACGGCCACCGTTTCATTGTCTTGAAAGACCAATATGGCCCCTGGGACATGAAAACGCGAGTGTATGATATATCCATTCCTTAATTAAATAAATATATGAAAAAATATTAGGCAGTTTGATAAAATTTCGCTAGTGTAGAAAATTATCTAACAAGAATTTGAGCTGAAAAGAAAGTAGAAAAGAAAACGGAAAAGGAGAAAGAAGGAAAAAACAAACCATGCATACACGTCTACACTAATGAAAGCCGATTTTCTTCGCCCGAGGAGTTTCTTGCTCATAAGCAAAACATATTAAGGGCAGATAATGTTGCTAGCTGATGACTTAGATCTCTTTCTATAGATTGTGTGCCAGATTCCATTCCTTATCGCCAAGTGTAAAACTGGGAAAGCATTTGAACTAACTTTGGAACTATCTGAGGTAAGTAATCAGGGCTCCAAATCAAACCACTATTGGAGACGAGCTAGGTTGCGCGTGGGCTTAGGGTGAATGTCTTTGTTGAACTCAGGCGATATAACTGCGATGTCCTCTTGTGGGAGGGGGTGGGGACGAAAAGAAAAGGGAAGAAAGAGAAGAGGGACCGAACCCGTTTTCGCTGCCCCAAAAAAATACCAGTACCATTTGAAGAAAATTTTTCACCGACATTTCCGTACAAATGGTAAGCGCTCCATTTATACGTCATAGAAACAAGTTAATTATATTACAATATAAGTGAAAGCCCACAAACAGGTGGATGGCACGGGAAAGATCCATTCGGAGCTTTACAGTTACGTGACTAAAATCATATTTTATTGTTGTTCAAAACAATAAGGCTTCCTTAAAGTGCAGTAAAGACAAAGCAGACTTCATTGAGGATGTGTACAGCTGTATTCGAGCCAACGCCCATCAGTTAACCCAGTTTCCAGAGTTAGTGCCTCAACTTTGCCTGAATGAACCGGATAAATCATACTCGAACACTTTAGCACAAGTAAGTCAGTGTAAAAACATGGCTGTTGAAGGATAAAAAAAAACCCCATTGCTGTAGAAATTGAAAACCCATCGATGCGAGATAATTTGGTTATGACATCAGCGTACGCTTGCCTGCCCGTCCGTACAGACACTGGAGGTAGAGGAGGGGAGATACCAGTTCAGATGCAACCAGCAGATTTAATCTCCTAAAAATCAGGCATTTACTTTTGAAAATGTATGTTAGGCAGCATAGGAAACGTTAAGTGTATCGTAAATTGCATTTTTCTTCTTGTAACCAGATGTCAAAATATTGAGACTCTCCGATGAAAACTTGGCTTATTCTACTTATAATAAACTCGCCGCCAGTCACACATCTGTGAAATACATGTATGACACCCACCCCTCCCTCCATTGAAGGTTGTTATTCTGAGTTTTGAGCATCGTAGTGTACAAGGGGAGGTGAGGGATAACAAACACAATACCACTGAGAGGCCATTAAAGCCCTATTGAGGTACATTGTCTCAAGTATATTTGAAATTGGTGGTAACAGTTAAGTGACAATGAGGTCATTTTTTCTGTTTTTTTTTTTTTTTTTCAAAAAGGAATATCTGAAGACTATCAACAATTTAGGGGGTAAGAAAAACTACTTTTTAACCGAGAGTGAGGTCATGAAAGGGAAATCTCAGCCTCAGGCCATTATTAATTGCTCCCGCTATCGCTCGGTAAATACATCAAGAGCGAGGTCCAAANGTTGATTCCATTTTTCTCTGTTTTAAAGTTATCACACATTACTACAATTAAAGAAAAAGACTACTTTTGATTGACCATAATTAAGGGCACATAATTAGTTCTGATCAATTGTTTTCTAGGTAAAAAGATCGCTCTTTGGCAAGACTTGACAAAGCTCAACGCCCAGAAAACCAACGTAGCTGCATTTAAACATCCAGCACCTGTAAGAAAATGCGTTTTCTCCAAAGGATGCAAGTACCTGGCTACATATGATGCAGATGGCGTGCTGCGCGTCTTTATGGTAAGACTGAAAATGACTCATGAAGTTACCAATCTTAGTATTGTAACTATGTTGTAGATACTTGTTTGGATTCTTTAACAAGTCTTGAAGCGTATCAAAGCTGATACAATATTTTGTAAACCTGCACATTCAGTTTCAAATGAAGAAATTAAAAATGAACTTAATTCAAGGATCACTGAAGTGTGGGCTTGGTGGCATGGACAAAGTAATAAGTAAACAACGGAAATAAATTAATAGAACTTAAACAAAAGATAATAAAAGAAAAAAAAAAGAAAACAACCTGAAGGCGGGAAAAAATAAAATAGTAAAAAAAATAAAAGTAAGTAAAAAAGGGAAATCAACTATGAGTTGATACTTTTATATTTTCTCCCGAAAAGATTTTGTCTTGAGACGTCACGAAAATTCAGCTTAGGTGCTTACCATAATTAGCATAAAATCGTGCTCCCTAACACCGTAAACCACCCGGTTGGAATCTTGTTCATAAAAATAAAACTATAAAGTTTGAAGGGGTGGTCCTCTAAGAAGTATATCTGAAAAATTGATTCCCCTCAAATAACATTCCATATTTTCAAAAGCGCGAACCGTTTGATTTTCTATAAACGGAATTTCCGTTTTTCCCGTGAAAATTATAGGTAGCCTATGCTCGCCTATTGCAAGGGACTTTTAAGTGCATGCTTCATGTACGTTCCAAAGATCTTCCCTTCCTTACAATGCAGTTGCAAGACCATTTCGAACGATAAATGTTCTTTTTTATTTGTTTTGTTTGTTTTGGTTTTGTGTGTGTGTTTTTTTAATTTACGTTTTGTTTTATGTTTTTTTTCTTAGGTCGCCAGTGGTTACACCGTTATGTCAAAGCAATGTGAATGTAAAGTGATAGCGTTTCCCCCCACTATTGACCAATGCCACTGGATTGCAGTCGCCGGCACAAACTCTATCGTTCGTTATGGCCTTGGTTCTGGTGGAAAGTACGAAGGTTGGTATATTATTCGATGTGGTTATAATCCCATTCGAAATCGGTCATTGACACGGACGAAAACTCCATTACATGTTGTATGGCACACAACCCCTTTGGGTTTTAAAATGGAAAAAACAAAAGTACCATTTTAAAACGATCTAAGTTATTCATTCTTTAAAACGACTTCGTTGTTGGCTGTCCAACAAGTGGCCAATATACTGGCTATCCATCGAGACACACTTTCGGATTATATGACCGACCAACTTCCAAAAAGACCTTGGTGGGATAAAATGCAGTTAAAGAATACAGTTTTATAAAATTTACCATGCGTAAAGTTTTACTGATTACTTAAATTTCGTAGTTGAAGAACTCTTTGTGGATTATATTTCTTTGAGCGTTCCCCACGGTTAATTAATCGCATAATTTGCATGGCATTTTACAGGGACTATCTTGCAAGAAATAAAAGTTGACTGCGATATCGACGACAGAGCAAGCATTGTCATCATCAAGAAAGGAAAAGCTTGGGAGGTAACTAGAACCACTGGAAACAGTCTACGATTCTCTTCTCTCCCTTTAACGTGATCCCATAGTGCGAGCTTCCCTATCTCCCAAGTAAATACGCCCTGGCATAATTTTAAGCAATTACTATATATTTTCTTTGTCTCGTGGCATTCATAGAGACCGTTGTTAAGTTAGTTTTACGTAGCCTAACAGAGTTTTTTTAAAGAAGGAATTAGATATAATTACATAAGAAACCTTTGGCAACGACAGCAGCGAAGACAAGGAGACCGTCACTAGAAAAAAAAAACAAAAAACAACAACAACAACAACAACAACAAAAACAGCCACAGCAAGTCAGAACAAACAAACAAAAATCATGATGAGGGACAAAATGAACAGAAATTTATCGAACAAAGAACAGTTTAGAGCGTGCATCACACTTCTTTGATTTGGTTCATTTCGTTGCCACCACTGTATGACCAGGAAAGTTGAACATAACTAGATGTTACCTTTTCGGTACGTTGAAACAATCCTTACGAAGTTTAATAAAAGGAACTAACACGTTTTCATTTTCAAGTGACATTATTTGCTGTCGCCGCCATCGCAGCTGTCATAGTTCCTTGAAATATTCACTTATCATGCTAAAATCTTTTCAGATTTTCCTGGCGACGTCACATGGTAAATTACGCTCTTACAGTACCTCACCCTCTTCTCGCGGCCAACCTGTCTACAAAGAAGAACTTCCAGTAAGCAAGTTAGCCTATTAATTAAACCATTTCAAGGCTGTTGTGGTTTTTTTGGGTGGAAAATGATGTTGATTTGGGAAGGAAATAATTTGGAGTAGGAACGGTTTACACATAAACCAGTCATATAGTTCGCTAATGGGCTCAGGTGCAGTTTGTTGTGGCGGTAGATTTTCTGGTATTTGTTTACTAATTATTGAGTTGATTAATTGTAATTTTTAACAAAATCCAAATCCAACATTTTCCAATTTAATTTTCCAAAATTTAAAACATCCTCTCCATAATTTTTATTCATTAATTACATTCGTAATAATAATTCTCCAAAAAATTAATAATTCATTTCCAAAAACGATTCAACCATGTAAGGACTGCAACTTAATTGAGTCATTTTTTGATTGAATGAAATTTGGCTACATATTTTAGTAAATTAATTAGGGCGGACACAAACGATACACAATGCTTTCAACGACGTGAGACTACCCCCTAAACATAATGGTGTGAATCTGCCAGCAAACTCGTTTTGACTCCTTTCCTTCCTTTGCCGCTGACTGAACAAGGCAAGCAAACAAATTCTTCTCTAAAATTTACGGATCATTATGGTATGATCGTTATTTACTTTGTATATGAACGCTAAAACTTTAATTCCTTTAAATATTTATGTTTTTTTTTTCATATAGAGAAGACCCAAGGTTCTCACTTTTTCTCCAGATGGGAATTTACTCGCTTTCGGTTCAGACAAGCTGTACTTGTGGAACGTTAAAACTCAAAAGGTTTGCAAAGACTTTTTCATCTTATTTATTTATCCCGTGTTCAATATTATCACTCTCGGGAACAGAATTGATGACATATTTCTTATACTTGAAAGGCTGGCTGTCACATGGGTGTCTCCACTGACCCGCGTTTATTTACTTATCTATTTATTTATAGCTTCAGACGCTAACTTTAGTTCATTAACTTCAAGGTCCGTTTCAAACGTCGTGTTACTGCCGTGCAGAACTAAATTGATCGAATTAAATTCGACTTTAGCACGGCAGTAGCGCGACGTTTGAAACCAAGTCGAGCTACTGCCGTGTAGCACGGCAAGCTTTGCTGTGCTGCGCGGCAGTAGCTCGACTTGGTTTCAAACGTCGCGCTGCTACCGTGCCGAACTCAATTCATACATTATAAATACGTAAGAATACATTTAAAAGTTTGCTAAACCGTTTATTTATTTTTGTGTTTTGTTTTCGGCAACAGTCGTTCTATTCGATTGAATTAAATTTGACGTCTGAAGCCAAGTCGTGATAGTGTCGTGCTTCAGTCGAGCTACGGAGCCAGCTTAGCACGGTAGTAGCACGACGTTTGAAACAGGCGAAGTAATGAATAGTAATAATGACAGTATAGCCCTCTCAAAATAAAAGGAAAAAATGGACAAAATTTGTAATGCGATCTCTTCGTGTATTTCAACATAAAAGTCAATTTGTTCTGATCATCATATCGTCCTATATTTAACAATTGTTCTACGAGTGCGCGTTGGATATGAGATTGTAGAGAGCCAGCGAGGTGCGTAGCACCGAGTTGACTATAATCATCTTATATCCAACAAGCTAGCACGAGTGGAATAATTGTTTTATTAAAGATGCCCACAAAATATCGAGAATTCTTCCCGACATTATTTGTAAAAACAACGCGATCATCAGCTTGTTTTTAATTTTTAGCAGACGCATACAGTTACATATGTGGTGAGCATGGCATAATGGCTCATATACCATGATAGCTAAGCTAATCAGAGCTCAATCAATCGCATAATCCAATAATTCATAATGGTAATTGAACTGAGTGGAGTGCAATTTGGTGTGAAATCATACGCGTGATTTCAAAATCGAACGAGCGTGCAGCGCGAGTTCGATTTGAAATCACAAGTATGATTTCAGACCAAAATTGCACGACACGAAGTTCAATTATCACCTTATTACATCCATTTTGAAATAACAGAATTTAGTCAGTACTAATATTTTATTGATCGAGTAGCCGGTTCGTTAAAAAGCCGGAACAAAAAAGCTTTTACATCTCATTTTGTTTTCTAAACAGAAATGATGCGATATATATAGAACAAAAATGGTGCGATTCAAAACAGAAATGATGCGATTTAGAACATGAATGACGCAATTTGGAACAGATGCTATTTAGAGCAAAAAATGATGCGATTTAGGAATAAATCACACTGCTGAAAGCCAATCAGATTGCACGGATAGCCAGTGATTTCAAAGTGGATGTAATAAAGTTTTTAATATTCCTGATATTGTTAGTGGTAAATGGTTTTACGGCCTTTAGTAACCCCTCCTCTTTTTGTCTTAAGGATGTCAAAGTGCTAGAAACCGACAAGAAGGTAGCTCCAAAGATGGATGGTGCGACCTTGAGCTTTTCAAGAACTGGGGCTAAATTAGGAGCTGTTCTGACAAGTGGAACGTACATTTGGAACTCACAGTCAGGTACTTCTTTTACTTCAGCGTTTTCTCGTTGCTAGGCCAACACCTCGTTTAACTCACGTTGTTTATTCATGATTATTATTATTTTCATTGATGATGATGATGATGATGATTAATATTGATGTTCATATTTTTTTGATTAACTTGAAAATATGTAATCTTCAACGTTTTTTTTTAAAGGAAAACTCCTAAAGACACTTGCAATGACTACGCTAGGTGTGGAGTTTGTTGTGTTTTCCCCAGAACTTGATTACATAGCATCACCTGACCTCAAAGACAAAGAGGATGTCAAGGTATCATCGCGATGCGTCCTGATTTTATTCTTTACAGGCTGAGAATATAAAATTACTGTTTTCGTATCATAAAATTTGTAGAACTAGAATATTAATATATCAGTTTGAGAGCACTGGCTTGTGACGAGATATTCCTTGGCGGAAGCAAATCTGTTTGGCGTTGCAAATAATTTATCATCGACGCACCGACAAATTCTCCAAAATACCGTACTGAGTACGGTATTTTGCGAAACGTGTTCCAGGGGCGGATCCAGGTTTTTTTTAAGGAGGGGGTGCACTCGTCTCTTGCTCTACTTCAACACCAATAAACCACATAGTTTTCTTTTTGCAGAATACCCGCTGTATTAGAAAACCGCAGGTCATCTCAGGGGAGGGGGGGGGGGAACGCACCCCCTGCACCCTCCCCCTAGATCCACCCCTGAGTTCAATAATTGTTTTATCATTCATTCGTTATCTTGGGTGCTTTACGTTGAAGTTAATATTACCTAGGAAATGCGAAACCTTCACTGTACCCTAAAGGCAGAAAGGCAGACTTGATTTACAGCAAAAGAACTCTTGTCTCGATTGCGCAGAAAGACCATTGCACGATGAAGACAGTTTTCTGCAGTGATTTTATGATCTCTTAATTATTTTAACAATTGGTGTGATATTATCCAAAATATTTTCTTTGTTCTTTTGGCTTCTTTGTAAGAAGGTAGCTTTTCAAATTTGGCGCTTTGGACCTTAAAAAGGTCCCAGCTGTGTCGCCGCATTCTGGGTGATGAATCAAACCTGTTTTCAAGAAGATTTCTTATAAAGTTCCTCTAAGATATAAAATGGAGCAAAACGTAGAACGAACAGAACAAAATGCATTGGCAGACACGGCTTTTTAGTGCCAATTAACCCTCGGACGCACAAGGGGGTGGATGCCCCCGCTCCCTCTCTCCGAACTTTTTCTGAGTTTTTTCCTGGACGATCAAACATTAGCACCTGACTTTCTCAATAGCTGTTCACTTATCCCTCTCGCGAATTTTGAGACAAGTTTAGTGATGATTATGAGATATGACGTCATAAGTAGCAGGTGGTCGAGCCATTTTTGAGTAAAAATGCATGTTTTTCAACTTCTTTCAACGATAAAAGTAAAACTTGTGGCTAAAATGAAGCAAGGTACTTATTAACGTGTTATTTTACATGTCTAGGACAGAAAATTACCACTTCTATCAGTTTTTACGTGATTTCTTATTTGTAGTAAAATCCAGCGTGGCGGCCGAAATGCCGACCATGTTTGGTGACGTCACAGGTCTCCAGCAGCGCCACCACTCATAAAATATACCTCATCTTGTAGAGAAGATCAAAGGCTTTCCACTAAAGGTTAAATCTTTTCGGAATATTGCAACATATAAAAAACTCTAGGGAGGGGTTTCATTAACTCCCCCCTCCACACACACACACACGTGGTGGGGGGTATGACTTTGCGTGTACGTCCGAGGATTAAAGTTTGATATGTTATTGATTACTTTTTCAAGGTATTCTGCATGGCACCAAAGCCGTATGATAAACACCCTGAATGGGAAACCCTAACAGCTCATTCAGCTGCAGTTCGACATTGTTGTATTGGTAGCAGGGAAAGTGGTCATCCTTTGATTGCCACTGCATCCGATGACAGCTCCGTTCAACTATGGGATACCAGAAACATGCCATCACCCAAAGTCGTCAAATTGCCGGTAAGTAAGGTCAATAACAATAGTGTAAGGAGTGTCTTTTTGAAACAGCAATATCTTCTTCAAGATCGTCGTCCTCCGATTTAAAAACTGTCCATGTGTGGCTTACGCCCCTTTTCCTTTCAGAAGATTTTTGTTGCTTCCTTACGTACACATCCCAGTTCCTAACCGAACAACTTAGTTCTACGCTAGGTAATTCTTTATATTTCCTGTGCGGTAGCTGTCTATTTTGAGCAGTATTGTTGCTATTACGAATAATGCACATGCATGAAGAAAGGATTTCTTTTTCAATTTGATTATCCCAGTATCAATTATATAATAAAATATAACGTTCCAGTACCTCTAATGCATTGCAAGTTGATTAAGACACCAGCTTAAAATGTTTTACCTCGATCATATCAAGGGATAATTGTTTATTGTTTTGTTTGGCAAAAATTATACAAATCAAATAAAAATCTAATTACCTTAACTCTCATGGCGAGGAAGCCCAAGAGAAGCCACTGGGCTTATAAGGAATGGGTTCCCTCAGTAATAATAGTTTAAGGGTATCTTCCCGTCATCACTGATATGGGTATAACAAAGGTACAGTAAAAGAAGTATAGAGTAGCATCTCTGGGGCAGTTTTTTCCAGTTAGAGGTGCAAATCCATTTTTCGAATTGATCTTAACAAATGTCTGGTCCGTACCCCCATTTCAGGTTATTCCTTCACTTAGGATCACGATTATGTTACACTGCTTCTCTACTTTCTTGTGGGTTCGCAGCCTTGCTTTTACCCTAATTACTCCTTCAGACATGAGTGTCAGTTTGCTTTTAATTGCCCAGGATCACGACGGTACAGTTCTAGCTTGTTCATTCTCTAGCGATGATAAGTTAGCTGTGAGTTGCTCTGCGACTGAGACATGGGTTTGGCAAGCCTTCTCACCTGTGCACAGACTACACCAACTCCATCCAGCCTCGGGTGCCGGAGGTAGGACACTTAGACCCGGTAGAAAATGACCAAATGTTGTTTCACTGTTAACTATTAACTTATCAGTTCAATTTATCCATTGCTCCTGTGTGAGTAAAATAAAACCAAAAAAAAGTAGCCACTCTGGTCGATTTTATATGGGAAAACCGACAAAAGATGGACAGCTAACATTAGATATATTAATCCTGCTATATCACAATCTAGAGTGAGATTCGAACAGACCTACGCGGAGGAAAGCATTGATTGATTTTTACTTCTGATTAAAAAAAATAAAAATTTGGTGCAAAGTTTTAAAATCAGAAAATGCATTCTTATTGCAATTATGACTTTCCCTGTTTTCGATAAAGAAAGTTGTATTTATTAATAATTTGAAAATGGAATAAACGCAAGCCTTCTCCAAATTAACTTGAGACATGGTTATCCAGAAGGAGAAAGTCCTCAAGCATGCAGCAGGCTCCATGTCAAGGTTCCGTCCTTTGTCTGACAGAATATAATTGTTGTCTCACAAGGGATACTTTTCTCAAAACCTATACGAATAAATTATTTGTTTCGTTCCTCAGAAAGCGGCTCTTATCCTTGTTTCTCTGAAGAAAGTGACTTTGTAGCAGTGTTTGTGAAGACCGGTGTGGACGTTTGGCATCTTAAGTCTGGAGTGGATCGTCATGGATCTGATGCAACCCTAATTATGGGAGCTCACAGGTAAATATTGTGATCCAATAATATCCAATAAAGGACTTTGTAACTTTAAATTATTGTTATGATTATCGTCATCATCACTATCTTCATCATCATCATTATTATAATAATAATTATTATTATCATTATCATAAATTATCATTGTAATTAACATTTAATTATCATTATTCTCACAACTTGTTCATACGAAATAATAGAGGTCACAGAGTGCATTCGTTTCTTTCGTATTTCCCACAAAACACCTTGTTTAGCACCTAAAATATCAAGCAATGTCTTAAGCAACGTAGAAACAAAATCAAAGGGGTGAACAAGCTGTATTATGGAAAGTCCTCGAGTGGAGAATTATTGATTAATAATTGAGTTGTACTAAAAACTTAATTTCTTGACAGAACTCTTACCTTCCTTTCCGTTCGCCACCTCTTCACCAAATTCACATCTGATGGTCTCTATTGCTGTTTGCTGACCGAAAGTGAACCTGGTACAGTCCGTTTGTACCTGGCAGTGAATAAGTTCGCCCTAGATGAGTGGGCGAAACACGAGCTAAAGGCCCCTCCACCAAGCGATTTGAATGATCGTGAGGCTTTTGAGCAGAGATTTTCAGTGGACGAAGGAAGAAAGGTATAGTATAGTTATTTCTTTAATTTGTTATTTAAAAGAAAAGAAACTACGCACTACTCACCACGCAGATAGATACCTAACCAACAGCAGTGTGCACTACACCTGAAAGAACAGCACCTACTGTAAATCTGAAAACTTCTCGATAATCACCTAACCCTTAGCTTTTCTTTGTACTCTGTAGTACCTAGGTGATGAACTGCGCGTAGTACACCAATCAGCTCTTTTTTTTATAGCATAAAAGGCTTCTATACCAATCCTATTAAAGAGTATAAAGGCAAGAAGGGAAAAGAGGACTATATGGCCAAAGTTCTCGGAACGAGGTCACTTCTCAGTTCATAATCCATTATTATTTGACTGGTAAGGCGTGGCGAAGAGTAGAAATGTCAAATACTTATTTATTACCTTTAAGACGTGAGTAGGAACTTAAATCCAAACATAAGGGCCCCCCAAAAGCTCGCAGAAACACTAATTATTAGGGCTAAAAATATTTTTATTTATTCAGGTTTTTGGAGGTCAGTTAAAGTTAGGGTTTATGGAAGCTTCGTGTAGTTTTTTTAAACAGAATCCTAATACAAGGCGCTGTTGAAAATTGAGCATAGCTAGCTATCGAAATAAAAGATTTTATGACCGAAATGAGTTTTTTTCTTGTTCAGGTTACCGAGGCAGCCATATCAAAAACTTGCGGTAGATTGGCGGTCATAAGTGTACCACAGCAAAGCATTGCTCAGGAAACTCTGAAAGGACCAGTGGAGATACACGTATGGGACATGCACTCCAACACAAACTGGAAAGTGTTGTTATCTTCACAACCATCCATCAGCAGACAACTCATAGTTGGCTGTGATTACCTTGTTTCATTTGTCCAAACACGAAAAAACGTTTCTGACACTGACAACCTGACAAACGTTTTGCAGAGACGGAGCGCAAGAGGCCCTTATTCGCGGCCTGACGAAGCTGTGTTTCAAATTATTGATAAACGTGGATCGACGCTTAAATCTTTTCAAATCCCAGGAAAGTTTTCTGGTCTGAGTGTTAATGTTGCTGAATCCACGCTTAAACGAATCTCTGAAGAACTTGTTGCATATGAACTCCACGAGGGAGTGGTCACAGCCCAGAATGTCAAAACTAACATAGGGTTAAGCACGTTTACTGTCAATAATACCGAAATTACAGCGGTAAATTTCTCTTCGAATGGCAAATCAGCTGTTGTTGGTTGTGCTAACGGGAATCTGCATATAATTCAAATGATATGATCAGTTAGTACTACTACAACTGCGGTGTGTTGGACGATAAGCATAGTTTTGACTAGAGGTGGCTGGTTTATCGATTAGTTAAAACTGTGAAAGTTTTGAACCCTGGACAGTCATTTCTTAAGTAGGTGAGGCATGATAGTCCGGGTGATCGTAGTCCTGAATAGGAAAGTGAGTTGTAGCACGTCAGTTGATGGTATTAAACTCTGGTTATTGACCTGACTGATCAGTTAATTGACCAAACAACGGGCGTGATACAACTCACTCTGACTCTGAAGATGTTTATCGCACGGGTTGTCGAATCGTCAGTCACTGTCGGTGATGCCTGTTCCAGTTTCTGTATTAAAAGTTTCCAGATCTTCAGGATAATAAAACTCGCTAGGACAATGTTTGTCTTCTTCATCCATCTTTGAAATCTAGGTAAAATTTCAATCTTTTTAGCTTTCTCTGGTAGTTTCGCTAAGAAGAATGACAATATTCACATTTTTTTTTCGCTGTTCTGGTTGCAAATTTTGGTTTTGACAGCTTTGCTCAAAAACAAAAATACACGGCTGACAATCCCGACAGAGAAAGAAGCAATGAGAGCGCACGGATTTGCCTAAGACTGGCTTTGCCATATAATAATGATATATGCGTGTAAAATGAAAGCTTTTTTACAAAAAAATAAATTGTGTAAAAAAAAAATATATATATTAATGATATATGTGTGTAAAATGAAAGCTTTTATTACAAAAAAATAAATTGTGTAAAAAAAAAAAAAAAAATTAAACCGTCATACACTAAACGTTACTGGCGAATTCAGGTAGTGTTCGTATTAAAGTTGTACAGCCTTTCTTTTTTTTTTAGCCATTTCTGGTCCATTAGAGCTTCCTGAGGTTTTTGCGATAAACGTATTTCTAGTAATGTTTATACATATAACATTGCCTCATTCTTCCACTTTGCATGCATTATATATCGAGAAATTAAGCACACATGGAAAGTTAAGAGAGCACTCAAATAAAGTTCTACACGAGAGCCGCGTTAATTTGAGGACTCTCCCGCGAGTTTGTGACGTTGAGGGTGGCACAGTTTGTTCTGAAAATAATGCATTTGGCTATTTCGATGAAACCGGCGCGAGGACCCCGCGCTCGAGGTCTCCTACCCCGATTTTTGTTCCTGGGTTAAGACAAAGAAAACAGCATTAGTGCGTTACTAAATTGACTTAGTTGAACAAACAGAGCTAGATTGCTTCAAAATAGGAATTATGCGAATATGCAAATCAATTGAATGGTTTTCCGCCTTTTCTAAGAACTGTTTTTTATCCCTTTTTTACATTTAATCCGGACTTTGTCCAAGGTCGTTAAAACAATTATTTTGTATTGAAACCATAGTTAAACTTACCAGAATTTCAACCAAAGAAGTTGCCCATCTTCGTTTAAAGAGCCGGGTAAAGCTATAAACCTGCGATTAAGGGTAGAGCTGGTTATTTAAACGGAGTTCATCCAGGGTTTAACAAAACCACGTTCTAAGCCATTTTCTAAGCCATTTTTATCTAAACACAGGTAATCGTGAACAGTTTCGTGGAAACATCAGGCTAGACTGAAAAATAACTTACCCTCTTAAAATAACCTACTTCGAAAGAGATCTCAAGGTTCAATGTTTATTTAAACCCCGACCTAAGTTAGACTTCTTTTAAATAACCGTCCTTAAAACTCTGATTTCTTGATTCGATGAATGCTTCTCAGTTTCATCTCTTAACTCCTTTTTTCATGTAATCCAATTTCAGTGTCCTTGAGTTTCGGCTTAAGATATGCGGCTAACACTTTGTGACAGAAAACTAACTGATTACTTTCTGATCTCTTTGAAAACACGACTCAAGGACGATGTATTTCCTACGATGTTTCCGTGAAATAAAAATAAATACACGTTTCAGACTCCATGCGTTCTGTCACGGAAAAGCTGAAAGTTTAGAACTTTGCATCCCCTTTAACTACTGTAAATTCACTGTCTTTGTAATATGAATAAATCACAAACCTAGGACACATGACCTTTTACACACCAGAAAGACAGATGTCCCTACCCTTTCATATACTCCGAGTAGTGAAATTCTTACCCTTTCATATACCAGAAATGTAAGAAAGTTAAGGTACTTCTTATAGGCCATTATAGGGAGTAACTCCTCAGGCAACAGACACTGCATCTGAGAGAGAAGCAGGCGAACTGAGATTAATTATAGGTGCCATGGAAAGTATTCTAAAGATCGAGAATTGATCAAATAAGAATAAATCGTTTATTATCAATCAATTAATGGAATAAGTGTTTCTTCATCAGTTTTTTAGGGTGCCTCTGCTAATTTTTTTTTGTCCAGAAATCGACTGCCTACCTTCAAAACGTATTATCAATGAAAGTTTTTATCACCCGACTAAGGTACAGTAGCTTTGATAAATCAACCTTAAGTCTGCAAAACCTGTTAAGTTCAGTGTTTATAGTTGCACTACTGAGTTACCACAGCCATCCCTTTCCAACGAGGCCGAGCGTATCTATTGAAAACTCGTTATCAAGCACAGTTACTCCAATCTTTTTGCCCAATTTCAGGCCGGTCCCAGCAATCTTGGCTTCAACAGTTCCGTCTTCTACTTTGGCGCCGGTTGATACTCCTGCTCCAAGGTGAAGGTTTAAGGGTCCAACTTTGGCTTCACTAAGTGTTGCTCGCGCCTTAGCTTCAGCACCAAACATGTGGCCTTCTTTGACAAAGCCCTTGAAATCCAACCCAGCACGGGCTTTTACATCGCCTCCTAGAAAACGAGCGTTCACTTTGACATCCTCACAACCAAGGTGAAAGAAGTGTGCTCTCGCCCCTGCTCCAACCGAAACACCCCACTCCGATGCTTCCAGCCCCGCGTCAGTCGAAAACTCCAGAAAACTGAAGTTATCGTCCCCGTCAACCCGAGCACCAGTTTTAAACTTCGCTATGTCAACTTTTGCATAGGTTCGATCACTAGAGTTATCATACTCCATCTTGGGGTTTCCTGTGAGTTAGAATGATGTCAATGTCAGTAAGTGCCACTGAAATCATATCTAGCCTAATTTTTAATATGAAATGATATACTAGATGAAAATTGATGAGACGTACGGCCCTTCATGGAAAACAGCTACAGCCCCGGCCTAATTTTTGGCTTTATAAGGCAGAAACTGTTGTTGTTGCTCGGTACTTTAAAAAAGGTAGGTGGGTGCAATAAATTAAATTTCAAAGGGACATTTGCAGAAACTGCAATACAATGTGGTAATGAAGTGGACAAAAAAAAAAGAAAAAGAAGATTGAAAAGCCATACCTTCAAAATTTTTCTCCAGCCTGTGATGATGAAGTGAAAAGAGTGCTGATGGTGTGTGACTGAGGTACTTCACTGACATCGATATGCTAATTAATCCGCCTTTTCTAAGAATTGTTTTGAATTCTTTCTTCACATTGTTTTTTTTTTGTCTGCTTTTTTGTTTTTTTTTGTCAACCAAGAGCTTAGTCTCGTAAAGAGATAAATTTGTTTGATCGATTGCGAAAAAGTCTGAGGTTTAGTGGCTAATCAGAAACTTCCTGTAAGATACTATCAATCAATCAATCAATCAATCAATCAATCAATCAATCAATCAATCAATCAATCAATCTATCAATCAATCAACCAATAAATCAAACAATATATCTATCTATCAATCAATCCCACCCTTTTAGCTGAAATTTTACGCTTATTCGAGGTAATGGTGTATTTGTTGCGAAGTATCATCCACCACTGCCTTCTCACTACATCCAATGATCTTCGATTCGACACGGCAATGTATTGCAGCTACAAAGCCGGTGTATTTCATGGAAGTGTGACGCCTGACTGTAGCGCAGTGCGAATTTTTACTATGGACTTCAGTAAGGCCTTCGATTTTGTGAACCATACTATTTTGTCTGCCAAACTGAAGCAGCTACCCCTAAATCCGTACATTATCAATTGGTATCAGAGTTTCCTCTATGCAAGACAACGTGTTGTTAGTTATAATTTTTTAGGACATTGGAAATCTGTCAATAGAGGAACCACACAAGGTAGTGTAAGCGGACCGTATCTTTTTGATATATCTTTGAATGACTTGGAGATTTTCTTTAATGGTTGCCCTGTTCTTTTTAAATGTGCCGATGATTCCACTATTCTTTCCCCTATCACTAGGAACCGCGACCCGTGTACCGACTTAGTAGGACAGTTCTTAACCTGGTGTAAAGACAATAAAATGGTCTGCAACCCTTGTAAATGTAAAGAGCTGGTTGTTAGAAAGAAAAATCACAATGTACTCTACTCTCCAATTAACAATATTCCTCAATGTAATAGCTTCTTTTTACTAGTGACGGGAAATTTAATGAGCATGTAAGAACCAAGCTTGTCAAAGCAAACAAGTGTTTACACGTCCTACGAACACTAAGAAAGGCACACTACTCTCAGGCAGAGATAGATCACCTTTTTATATCTCTTGTTTTACCTAATTTTAGCTATGCGCTTTCAGTCTATGGGGCATCGGAGTCCGGTTATACAAAATTTTTTAGACCGATGCCATAAACGCCGTTTTATTTACCGAAACATTTTAAAGAAATTAATATCAACGGATTGCCACCCCCTGAAAGATATCATTC